CAGGGTCCGGTGCTCAAAGCACAGCTGCGTCGGTATTATCTCGCATACCCTCTAGGTTGTCTTTCTGTAGATCGTCAGAACTATGAACTAAGTTAGGTCTGAACTAAAGTTTGTCCGTCTGGTTTTGCTGCTAAACCTGTCTATGTTTTGCCAGGGATCAACACCCTAGGGTCTAGCAGGGGCATGGGATGTCTTGCTATTTTAAACTTAAGCATAGTAGTAATTATGATATGTCTGTTCTAGCTGTGTTTGATGTGTTGTTCTTGTTGCTCTTGTGTGATTTGATCGTGTGTTGTGTTTGTTGTCTGTTGTGAAGTGCTGCAAAATGGGTGGTAAGGCCACCACTTTTGAAAGTGGTGAGGAGAACAGCTAGTTGCATGCAACCAAACAACTATGCTTTGCATTTGCTCACCCTGAAGCACAAACACAGGCAAGCAAACGACATGTCACCATCTAGGCCTTGGTACAATATAAACAACCAATCAATATCCAGTTGTTGGTTTTATTGCCCACATTACCTCAACCAAGCCTAGATGGGTCAAGTATGCAAAGTGGCAAAAAATGTTGCAGGTAACCCAACGCACCCTATAAGTTCGTGCACAAACATGTCACCGTGTACCCCTCACGTCGAGCGCAGTACGAAGGACACGCCGTTGGAGGACCCTTGCCGGGAGCGCGATACGCAAGACACTACACCGGCAAGAACTTTTGCAAATCCAAAATCCCACACCCCTGGGAGGGACCCCATCATCAAGTGCGGAGGCTATAGGCTGCCCTAGGTCGGTTCAACCGCCCCTAGAGCCTTGGGATTTGCAACTCTCAAACACGAAGAACGAGGGAGAGACAAATTGTCGATGCAAAAGTAATAGAGTGTCACCTCTCACCTATATATGAGGCGGCCGGATTTTCCGTACAAGAAAATGACCCCATATTCCGTCCAAATCTTTCTAAAATCAACCGAACCCTGATTACGCGTGGGCCTGAGATAACAATTTGGTTTTTGGGACCCACAGCTACATACGACCTCGGATCAAAATGATCCAAAAAGTAGAGTTGTTCGTCTCGATGATGAATCTTCATGTTAAACATTTTCCCATCTGAGGGCTGAATCACTCGCGCAAAAGAGTGATTACTCGTGCCATGTATCAGACATGGGTTATATGGATGTCTAGTGTCAGGCGCCATGTTTTAGTCATGGTCGGGCCACACTACATTGGCTGTAACTTTTGCATATGACCTCATATTGAGGTATTTAAAAAGCAAAACTATTGGCACTTGACGAGATGAAGAATTTTCATGTAGAGAACTTTTCCATCTACATCATCTTGGAGGCGATAGAGCATCTCTAGTGGCTTGTGTAAATTTGGTAGTCTATATCTTCACATACACAATGGTGTAAATTTTTTTCATTTTAGACAACCTCAGTTTTTCAGTGGATTGTCTAAATTTGGTAGTCTATGTCTCCAACTGCTATATTTTCAGCAGCTACTTTTCCAATGGCTCTATTTCCAACGGCTATATTCCAGGTCTATATATACCACCCCTCCTACCTCTCATTCACCAATCCTGGTTGTGCCTTCTCATTCCTCTCCTGAATTCCTTTGTCTTCTCTCACACAACAGAATGATGAGTGGAAACATTTCTTCTTTGGATATGCTCATGAATTCGTCGTCGTCTTCATCTGACGACGACGAACTCATTCTTGTAGCATTTGCAGAGCACGAGAAGGAAGAGCAGAGGAACCGTCGACGCCATGGCGGTTCCAAGCATAGACGTCAGACAATCAATCGAGCAAGAGATGCAGGATTTGTTCTACTATGGAATGACTACTTCAAAGAAAGTCCTCGCTATCCCGAAAAGTTATTTCGGCGAAGGTTCGTAATTAGTACATTTACTTAGTGTCTGCCTATTTTTCACCTCCCTATCTCATTTGTGAAGATGGCATATATCCATGGTGGGCAACATTTGTGAAGACCATACCATCTCCACAAACAAGAAAGAAGAAACATTTTGCCCAAAGGCAAGAGGCGGCTAGAAAGGATGTGGAACGAGCCTTTGGAGTTCTGCAATCTCGTTTTGCCATTGTCCGAGGACCTGCGAAAGGATGGAAACGTAAAGAAATCGGTGATGTCATGAAAGCTTGTGTCATAATGCACAATATGATAGTTGAAGACGAACGTCACACTGGTCAGCAAAACAACAATTATGAGGCAATGGGAGAAAGAGTCAGGGTGTCCTCTACTCATGCGGAAGAGCTGAGTGCATTTATTCAGATGCATCAGCAAATTAGAAACAAAGATGAACATTCTCAGCTTCAAGATGATCTAGTTGAGCACCTCTGGCAGAAGTTTGGACACGAATGATGAACATTCTCAGCTTCAAGTCACAAATAGTTGAAGTGACAAATAATTCAAGTGACAAATAGTTTAACACTTCCATACAACACATGGTATATTAGAAGCGAATTAGAAGATAGATGCATACCTTATCAGAGAGAGTCATTCCGCTGCAATTTCTATTTAATATATGTTGAATACATGCACAGAACTTGCTCGTGAGCGCTGAAATAACGTTGTAACGACAAGTGAGTCCATTAGAACCACGCTCCGACCATGACGGTTTTTTGTGAGCGTTGTAGTGATCTGAAATTCTACCCCAATATGTACTTGAGTTTTGATCGGTCCCGGTCACCGCATCCAGACTAGTGTTTGCCCATGCTTGAATCAACACCAAGTCCTCAGCAGTTGACCAATTTTTCCCTTTTGTGGAGGCTCCTTTTGCCGATTTTGGTTTCGCAGATTTTTTTCCCCTTTTGTGGAGGCATCGTCACTTGTTCCGCAAGTGGGCTACAATTTGCTGTTCCATAACAATTTGTGTCACTCGATCCTACATTCATCATGTACAGAAATGAGGAGTTGTTGATCTGTGAGTCCATCTCATATGAGTTTTCCATCTGCACACAAAGAGCAGCAGCAGCAATATTCAGATATTCAGAGAACAATACCAATATTCAGATACAGGGAGCAGCAACAATATTCAGATACAGGGAGCAGCAGCAATATTCAGAGAGCCGGCGCTCGCGCACACGCTACTGCCTCGCAGCCGCCTCGCGCTCGTGCCTCACAGCCGCTGCTCGCAGCCGGCGCCCCAGCCGCTCGCGCACACGCTCGCACCCGCAGCTCGCGCATCCCCCTCACACCCGCCGCTCGCGCACATGCTCGCCGCCGGCGCCGCGCTCGCAACCGGAGCCCCATCTCCCTGCCCCTTCTCTCGCATCTCCCTGCCCCATCCGCAAGGGCGACAGTGGCCGGCGGAGGCGGACGGATTTGGCCTCAGATCCATCGGCCCCATCTCCTGCCCCGTCTCTTCAATCACTCTCCCTCTCTCCGAATCGGAAAAACCAGAGCATACCTCAGCAACGGCGAGCTCCTCGGGGCAGTGGCGTGGGCGTCTTCTCATCTTCAACTTCTCCAGATCGGCGCGGGAGCGAGCTCGCGAAGGGGCAGCTCTGTTTGGACGTCCTCGCTCCGTCGTCTAAATATGGACAATGCGTACCGATTCGGATGGATGTCTAAAATTTAGACTAGCACATACACAAGCCGCTGGACACATTTTTTGGCCTCTGATGGTCTATATTTGACATAGACTATGGGATACACAAGCCACTAGAGATGCTCTAATGGGGCGAACACACCCCCGAGCACCAACTCTCAGCACTTCGAGCACTGTTTTGGCTTTCGAGACGAGCTCGGGTGGATATGACCCGAACACCACCAAGTTGTTGGTTCAAATGGCATGAAGAATTTCCATGTAGAATACTTTTTCATTTGAGGTTATCTTAATTATGATTATGCCATGCCAAAATTTGATGTGAACGTTATCTTTAATATTCCCTGGCCATTATCCTCCAAAATGGAATGGATCATAAGATTATTCTAGCCAAAAGCGATTACGTTCCTCCCGCTCCATTTTTCTTTCATGACCAAATCAGGAAGAGCGTCGTCGTTTCATTAAAATCACTGGTGATTGAACACACCAAGAAACAAACATTTGTAGAACACATGGACGCTGAGATCCCGTGATTAGCAAAGCAGCAGAAGAAGACCATGGGACACCACCAAGCAACACGATGGAGAACACCCTCAAGTAAACCAGATCAGTATATATATGTAACCTATGCACCGACGGAACTAGATCCTCTAACATACACAAGGGATGTTAGAGAAGCTACAGTATCTTAACTTTTCTATTGTTAATCCATACAATTGAGGCTAAAATAACTTAAAATTAATTTTTAAATTACTGATCACATACAAACAAGTTGATGGTGAGATAAAATTAATTTTAGATATTTTATATCTACAGTAATTACCAAAAGTAAATAACCTGCTAATAGTCCCTAGCATTCCTTCTTCATTTTACACTAGACAAGCACTGTAGCACCGTGACTTCCCTTCTCTAAGTTAGAGGATCCGGCTCCTGCACCGAGGGCTTCAAGAGGAGCGTCACAGACGCAAACAATGAGAAAATATATACAGAAGTGCTGAATAACCGTTACTGTAATTGTAGAAATAGGTGTGGTGTAACTGGCACATGGCACCAGGTACACGTTCACAAACAAGCTTGTTTGGAGCAAGCAAAAGTTCCCTATGCTTTGTGCAACATCATCCACGATCTGTGTCTTAAAGCTGGACAATGCGCAGTACTGTAAACATTAGGAAAACAACTCGAATTAAATGGTCTCATATCGAATGATGGTGATAGTTCAAGATATATGTCCACACAGCAAACTGTTCCAAGTCCCAAACACACTTCACATCTGTGCCATGTTGATGGCAGAGGGTTCCATGGCTTGTTTGAGAAATTATTCCATACATATACCTAGATAATAAGGCAAACTTGAGTATTTCAAGGCACAGTAGTGCAGCCCTGAGTTGCGAGTATGTAGAACACATTATTCAGAATCACCTTTCTCCGAAACTGGAGCATCATCAACACTGCTACTGCAGGTTTTTTGGGTTCCCAGCGCCATCTTTGTTGATACTATCTGAACTCTTCACGGATTCTTCATTCCGTGCACTCTTGGGGACATCGCCCAAAGGATCAGACGCCTCTTGAGCTTCACATAGCAAGCTGCATCCACATTTGTTGACCGTGCTGGTACACCTTGGAGCAACTTCCCCACAAGGTGATGGAACCCTGACAATAAAGGCATTCAGTTTCTGTCTATATGTCAAGGACTATAACACAAGGCAGAAAGTTACTGTGGTCTATGATAGAAAAGCACAACTAAAATAATTCTGTCATCCAATTTGACGACACAAGGAGATAGCTTTGTTCTGTTGACTGCCTTTTCTAACAACTGGCTAGTGTTTGCACACATTATGAAGTAAAGTACTATACGGATAAACTGCGGAGTGGTGAGATATTTGTAACTAGCCAGTACTGGACACATATAACATTTCCCAAGTAGATTAGCATGGTACCTGAACTTTGATATAAAAATGATGCTAATCACAACAGAACATACTAGGCTCTAACTCCCAAGTATTGCTCTCGACTAACATCTCAAACAGCAACACACTCATAGCTCAGTAATCACATTACCATAGAACATCTGAAACCAAACTACAAAAGCCAAAGGCCTAGAGCAGCAAGGGGCATGTTAGAACAATTACAGACCCAAAAGAGCACTGAAATACTTGCAATTTATTTTCCACACAAAGAATACATTGGCATGCTTCAGCACCGAACTAACCTGTTCTCTGTGGCATGGATAGCGCATTCAAGGATGTTAACAAAGTCCCCCTCCTTGTTAACATTGGACCCATTGTTAATCAACTGTTGTGCATGATCTGCTGTCTTCTCCTCCTCCCCTTCTTGGTCGGTACCATCTGCCTCCTCACTATGCTTCAACGACGGATCCTTGTGCTCAACTCGAGGCATAGGAGTGTAGAAGCTGACAAGTGGAATCAAATTACAAAAGCCATGATCATCGCACACCTTTCTCACCCTATTTGATTGTAGTTTGATCATGAAGACGCCAGCAACCGTGGTCACGAAGATGGCATTTGCTCCCTCGGCAAAGCCCAACACTAGCACCCTAGTCTCTGCACCCACGAAAGCACTAATTGGGAGCAAACTGCCGAGGTAGATGACTCGGCTCAGCACCCATCGTGCATCAGTGATATCACTCGCCTCCCGTGCCCACAATTTGAGGTGCAAATTCACAACTTCATTAACACCTAGTCCACCGTCCTCCACCAGCATGATGTTACATTGGTCGATGTAGTCTGACTCAGGTGGATCAACCACAGCCAGACCGTGCCGTGCAAGGTCATACTCTAGGATGGACCCATCATCAAACATGAAGTAGAGCAAAGACCTCCCAACAAGCACACTAGAATAAAATGTGAAGCACATGGGCCAGAAGGGTTGCAATGAGGTCAGCTCGCCCCAGGTGCCAGTTTCTGACGAGTATATACCTGCCCACGTGACACCGTCATCGTCAGTGTCGTCATCAGTGTCTACGTTGTTGACAGAGAAGATGAACAACACGCAGAAAGGCCCCCCCAGGCAGTCGTGGTGGTCGCACCCGTCCGCTGTGCAGAACACGGCGGCAGGTGGGTACACAATCATGTTCGCACTTATGTTGTCATAAGCCACGGGCACCGGTATGCGCTGTTGGGCACCCGTGATTGGCTCCCACAGGAGAAATTCCTCAGTGCTTTGGCCCTTGGAGTTAGAGAGAAAGAGGACCCGACCGTGGCGGCAGTCGAGGGCCCGCCAGCACCGGCGGTCTGGAACGATGAGTGAGAAGGACGATATTGTGGTAGGGATGAAGTCTGAGATGCTCTTGTCGCGACGGTCGTGCAGGAAGCCAAGCACGGGGGTTGTACAATGGAGCTCGTGGAGGCGACGGCGGAGGCTGGGACGGGTGACGGCGCAACCCCAGGCCTTGCAAACAAGGGAGGCACGGAGGAGGCAGGCTGGCTCATCGGGGGGAAGCCGGAGGAGGATCTCTTCGAAGAGCTCATCCGGGAGCATCAACAACTCTACTGCCATGGTGGTCTCTAGATCTGGATCTGGGTGGTTGAGTGGAATGCTTCAGCCCAAGCAGTTTGTTAAAAGGGGTTAGGCATGTCTCTCCTATTTGATCTGAAAATTATTTTCTTCCCTATTTGACATTGGTTCTGAATTTCCTTCCCAACACTACCCTCCATATTTTCAGCAGACGGTATTACTTGGCACGTGAAAAGACACTTGTGTCCCTCATTTCTATAATAGTTTTCTTAGAAAAACACCTCAACAAAAGTGAGCCCACATGTCAGTCGTGTATATGGTGAACAGAGCAAGTGATAAAAATATGGAAAACGTTTATTTCCAACCAACTGATCTCTCATGTCGTAAACCTCGCCCTCTGCTCGACACGTGCCCTTGTGGGCTAGTCCACCGCTTCCCCTCAGCCTTATCCCTTCACTCTTCTCCACGCGTTCTCCGTGTTCGTCTCTTTCCTTTCCCCATCTCTTGTTCTTCACATCCGAGAGGGGAGGGCTTCCATGGCAACGCCGACCACCAGCCACCACAGCTGCGAATCGGGAGGGACGACGACAACCACCGCCTGCTGCGTCCCGGCACAATTAGTTGTTGTTGCCGCGAATGAGGGGGGTCGCAACCACCAGCTGTTGGTCCTCACAGCCGGTGTTGCAACGCAGCACGAAGGCAGGAGGGTGACACCGCTCGCCGCCAGTGATGCAACACAGCACGCAGGAGGAGGCTGGGCTGCTCACCGCCGGTGTTGCAACGCAGTGCGAAGGCCGGAGGCGGGCGCCCATGCTGCAACGCAGCACGCAGGAGGAGGCTGGGCTGCTCGCCACCGGTGCTGCGTTGGAGCTTCTTCTCGCGTGCTAGAGTTGCAATGGAGCGCTGCTGTGGCTGCAATAGAGCGCTGCTGGAGCTGCAATGAAGCTTAGCCGGAGACGTCGTCGGTGCTGCGTTGAAGTTTTCTTGCCGCGCTTGGTGTTGCTATGGAGCCGCACGCCAGTGGTCCCGGTGCTGCACGCCGGGCTCCCGAGCACCGTCGGCGATGTATCGGTCGCGGGCGGCTCTTGGAGCTGCGTTGCAGTGCTCGCCGATGGCTCCGGTGCCGCGAGGTCGCAGGACGCATGTGCCACAATGGGTGCTGCGTTTCTCTCGTGAAATGGCATCAGAGGAGGAAGACATGGGGTGGGGCTGTGTTGCCGTGATCGAACGACCACCAGGGGCAGATCGTACGGCTGGCTAGGCGGATGATTTAGCAGCCGCCTAAAAATATCCGGTCCTTCCAGCACTACCACATCTCATGTTTGACCACCCGCCGGTCATCCGCACTTCGGCGTCGCCCGTACAAGCTATGCCGCCTCCTGCCCAGGATCTTGTCGCCCACTCTGCATCCAACTATTGACTCCCTGTCTGTGCTAGAGTTGCACTGCCCCCGTCCATGCCCGATCGCCATGAATTTTTTACAAATTCATTAACCTTTTTTCAAAACCCGTGAACTTGTTTCAAATCCATGTTTTTTTAAATTCATGTGCAATTTTTCAACTCACGAACTTTTTTCAATTTTGCAGAGGATTCAAATGCGCACACTTTTTCCAATTCATGTAAAAAAAAAACAAACCCATGAATTTTTTTTAATCCAAGACTTCAAAAAAATTCATGAACCTTTTCTGAAATCTGCAAACTTTTTTCAAATTCATGAATATATTTGAATCACCAGTCGAGCAACACTCAAACTAATAAGGATACTAAAACTTGAGACTAAGAAGACTGAAAGGAAAACTTAATTTGACTGACATAAAGATGACACAAACTGAAAACATGAATTAAAAAAGGGGGTACCTAGTTGTCCCTTTGAAGAAGTGTTAATCAGTCCACATGGAGGGGGGGCGATGAACACCTGCAAAAAAAAACATTCAAAAGAAATAAGAGGATCCACAGGGCACTACTCCATTGTACTCCCTCCGTCCCAAAATAAGTGTCTCAACTTTGTACTAGCTCTAGTACAAATTTGTACTAAGCTCAAGACACTTATTTTGGGACGGAGGGAGTATATAACAAAACTAAAGCTCTTAGAGTGTTACGAAAAAACACAAAAAGAGAGGCAGAGCAAAACGTAGCCTGCAATTGAACCGAACTGAATGCCCAAAAATTGACCTAACATTCAAGCCCAAAAAGCTCCGTCTTGAGACCCACCCCCACAAACAGGCAGCTCCTTCTTGGCTGCTACAGTCACTGGAAGCGACGCGGATGTCAGGAGGCTTGTTGCGCAGACCTGCAAAAATGATTTTGCTGTGAGTTGTATCTCTGACTTTCAAGCATGTATCTGATCACGGTAGGATTCGACAACACAGACACCCCCATTCAATGCATTTCCAGCGTGTATCTAATCTGGAAAAATGAAGAAATAATAACTGGGAAAAGGACTAAAAAGGAAAATCATTGTGAAGAAATAAAATGAAGACTAAAGTAGCGAAATGAGAGATTTAGATATTCAGAAAACTGTCTGAAAACTTGCTAAACTAGCTAACTAACCTGCCTATGTGGTAACTTGCACAACTAAATAAAATGACACCTAACACTGAAACTTCTGACAAAACTGAAGAAAATGACACCGAACAGTGAAACTAGCGAGGAAACTGATGAAACTGACACCTAATAATGAAACTATTGACGAAACTGAAGAACCAAATCCTCATGTGAGGAACAATAATGATGATAAAGTTGTGGCGATGTTATCTAAAAAAAGGGAAAATCTGAACAATCCTAGATAGCGACAGAACGTCGAAAAACGAACGCTGGAAAAACCATTGCCCAAACCTGGCCTGATCGCATAGTCTTGATGTTCAATGAATACTGAAGATGACTGAGAAGGTAGGGCTGAAAGACTGGAGAATGAGTGATTTTAAAATTGAAGGACAAATTACAGAAATCTGAAACAGAAGAAAACTGAGGACATATATACTGAAGGACTGAAATTAAGAAACCTGATAGGCTGAGGAATGACTGATAAGTAGGGATTTGAAAAATGAAAATCTAAGTGAGAAGGGACTTGCTGAATAATGAATAAACATGTGCACTGAAGATCAATAAACTGAATTTGAAAGAATGAGACTGAAGACTGAAGTACTGAAGTACTCCCTCCGTCCGAAAATACTTGTCATCAAAATGAATAAAAAGAGATGTATCTAGAACTAAAATACATCTAGATACATCCCTTTTTATCCATTTTGATGACAAGTATTTCCGGACGGAGGGAGTAATAATAAGACAATGAAATTCAGAAAATAATAAAACAACAAAAATACTGATGACTAAAGAAATAATAAAACAACAATAACAATGTGCACTGATGGTCGCACCTTCCTCCCCACCGACGACGGCGGCTGGTTCCGCACCCACCGACCGGCACTCGGTGATGCCTCGCCCGACGGGACAGCTCCTCTGCCCTGCCATCCATCCCTGCAGCTCCCGCCGGGAAAACTCGCCTTCCTCCTTCCCCTTGGGGGACGGGCGCGGGTCCAGACCAGGTGGGAGAAAAAACCAGAACCCAATAACCCACATCTTGATCGCCAAAACCCCTCGCACATGGAACACAGACACACCGGTGCGCCAAGATTCAGACTGAATCAACGCCTCAAAATTTGACTTAAAGCCAAAACAAAATCAGTCGACTGATTTTTAGCAAAAATGTAAAAATAAAAAGGGGTTACGATGTTAGGCAGCGAATTGTGCTTGCCGTTCTCTCGGCTTAAAAAAGCCATGGCCTTCAACAAGAGAGGGGTTAAATGTTGTTTGATCAAATAATGCCAGTTCAGAATCTCCTTGGGAAGATAATCGACTGTTCACACACTGTAATCATAGACATAGCTATAGAGTAACTGACACATGGCACCAGGACGGCAGGACCAGGTACACGTTCAAAATATGTACAACCCAAAGACAAGCTTGTTCCGAGCAAGCAGAGATTCTCTATGCTTTGTGCAACATCATCTACTATCTATGCTTTAAAATTGAATAATATATATATTAGGAAAACAACTTATACTAAATTGTCTCGTATGGAATGATGATGATAATTTAAGAGATATCGCCACACTGCAAACTGTTCAAAGTCCAAATACACTTCACAACTCTGTGTGCAATATGATTACCTTGGGCCATCAGCCGTGCCATGCTAACATCAGTGGGTTCAGTTAGTTCCACAACTTGTTTGAGAAATTATTCCATACAAGTAAAATTTCAGACACATGCCTAGATAATAATGCAAACTTTGAGTATTTCACCACACGTGTCTGGGGGAAAGGGGTAATGGTATATACAGTACAAGCGTACAACAAATTATTCAGAATCACATTTCTCTGAAGGTAGAGCACCATCAACATTGCTACCTGATGTCTTTTCGGTTCCCAGCATCAACTTTGCTGGCCCTACCTGAACTCTTTGCAGATTCTTCATTCCGTGCGCTCTTAAACTTAGGAACATCACCCAAAGGATGAGTCTGCTCTTGAGCTTCACATAGCAAGACTCGTCCATGTCCATAGACCATAGACCATGCTGGTAGTGGTAGACTCTAGAGCAACTTCTCCCCATCTGGTGGAACCCTGATAATAAAATAAAGGCATACAATTTCAGTCCATATGTCAAGGTTATATAACATGGTCCGGCAGAAAGTTACTGTGATCTATGATTGGACAACACAGCTACAATTATTCTGTCAACCAATTTGATGACACAAGGTGCTAATTAACTTCGCTCTGTTGACTTCCTTTTCTAACAACTGGCTGGAGTTTGCACAGATTATGAAGTAGTGGTATGCGAGTAAACTGCATAGCCATGAGATATTCGCAACTAGCTAGCTAGTGCTGGAGACGCATATAACAGTTCTCAAATAGAATAAGATATTTGCAGCCAGCCAGGATCCGTACTCTGGTACGGCGAGGAAGAAGGACGAAGCGGTGCTGGGGTTGAAGCGGGGGACGCGCTTGTTTCTCCGGTCCTGGAGGAGGATGCCGGGCACGGGGGAT